CTTTATTATACTTTAGATAGTAATTTACTTTGTAGCACATGTAAGCTTTTCCTTAATAAAATGATGGGCAAGATCGCCAACAAAAAAAATAAAAATATAATTAGTATAAATTCAAAAACTTATTAAATTAGATAGTATAATTTTTATTTAGATATCTCAAAAATTTGATTAAATTTGAGCTTGATTATATATAACCTATTAGTTTGTAATATAAAACAAGATTTTTTTAATTAATATATTTGATGCAAAACTACTATTCCTGATAGATCGTCAGTACCTATCCTGATAAGATAAAAAAAAAACAGATCTACATACTATTCTTGATAAAATTATACTATTCCTTATTATACTGATACTATTTATATTATAACACAGTATAAAATATAGTCGTTTATATGTATTATTAATAATTGCTTAGTACTACTAGTTATAGTATCAGTATTACAAAGTTTACATACTACGTATGTATATAGCATATTGTTATATTAATTGATTTAGAATATTTGGTAATAAAAATTCCAAATGCTGAAACCTACTATGTATTGTATGTATTTTGTGCAAAAAAATACAATTTTAATTTTAATTTGTATTAATACGTAAAATAATTATAGAAAATATAATATAAAAAAAAAAGACTTATCTTGAATGAGATACATAAAATATGCTAAGTTGAAATATATCTTACGTTCTAAGAGTTAAGAAATATTATTATAAGTATGAATGTATAACTGATCTTACTAATATTACTAGTAAAAATATTAACTTTGAGAAAATAATTAATGCTACATATAGCTGAAAATTATGATCTCTTACTAAAATTATAAACTCTACTGCCACTAAAGTTTATGCATGCTCTAAGAATTCTAGCCCTAGATCCTAAATAGGTTTGATACTTATTATCATTTTTGAATTTATTAATATTAAAGATATACTCAATTATATAATCGAGAAAGCCTTATACATACGCAATATGTATAATTAATAGTAAAACCATATATATAAGCATATATTACTATATAAGTATATACATATATATATACTAACAAAAAAATTAATACGTAAAAATATCTACTATTGTATACATATTTGCATTTATTATATAATTTAGTATAGCATATACTAATACCTAACACTAGCTTTAATTATCCTTTAAATTTTTTTCACGAGCTTTTTGATTACTGATCTACCTATATAATTTTATACCATTTTTAACTGGATCATTGTCAAGTTATAGCCTTTTTGTTACTGCTATATTCATAAATTCTCTGGGATTCCAATTACATATTTTTTCAAGAAAAAGTTCTTCGAGAGATCTTTTAGTAGTAAAAGCAGTATCATTTTCTTGTCTATTACTGTATATTTATTTATTAAAATAAAATTAGTAAATGTGATTATTAAATAAATAACTAATTAAATACTAATAAATTTACAGCTTGAGAGTGAGTTCAATGTTTATTACAGACTCTTGTAGTATTATGTCTACAAATAGAGTAGAGATCTATATTTTCAATCTCATTAATTAGAATTTCTGAAATTTCTGTAATTTCTGTAATTGTTGAATCACTAAAATTTTTATTATTGTTATAACATTCTTGACTATTTTCTATTTGCATGTTAGAAGAAAATTGACTAGGTTTGCAAAACTTTGCTCCATTATTTTTAGGTGCTCCACTTGTTGAAGGGATTTGTATACTATCTATTGGACGAAAAAGATCATTTGCTATTGTTTTTTGCTCTATTAGAAAAAAGTTATCATTACCTATACTATGATAAAGTCACAAAATTTCTTGATAAACCTCATTGCTAGTTCCTCTATAAATAATATAGTTCTTTTTTTCTGGCGCAACTGCATTTTTCTTATTTTTAAAATGCTGTACTAGTTTTTTCTTAATTTCTTGCATCTGTAAATTTCTATGTAAAGCTTCTGTATACTGTCATACAGTATATACATGCTTGCAAACATCCCTAAAGGAGCTATTTCAAATATAGTCATAGCATATATATTCACCTGATAATGTATTGACAAGATAATATATTTCTGGAATATAGAGATTTTTTCTGTTAACTAATTTAATAATTATCTCATTTATTTTTTCTAATATATTTGCTGGTATATTAACAAGATGAAAAGTATAAGGTAAATAGAATACTTTGTTCTGCTTTTTAACTAATATATAATTTTCTTGTCCAGGAATTGGTATAACAAAACCAAGAAGTATATAAAGATGTCCTTGGTTTATCTGATATTTTTTATCAACAGAATTTTTAGGTAGTATTTGTTTATGTTCAATAGTACGCATGTTCCAGTAAGTTGCCAACTTTGCATCAAAATTAGTTTTTCCGAGCTTACTTTGAACTAATGATTCTTGAAAAATTTTAGTACCATATAAATATTCAATAAATTTCACAACTGTTTGTATTCCACTACATCGTGCTTCTACAGTCTTATATATTCGTTCTATAAGATTGTTCATTGTCATTGGCATTGCATTAGGTTGATCATATATTTGTGACATCCATCCCTTATCAATAAAGCTTTTTCGCTATTCATCACAAATCCAGTTTACTCTTAGATCACGTATTAGATGGTCTTTTATATTATTATCAAGAGACAAAGAATTAATGAATTTACTATATTCTTCTCCCATTTTAACTACTTCTTCATCAGTTTTACTTCTACTCACAATTTTAAAAGCAAGTGCTATCAGATATCATAACGGCCATTCTACTTTTATTTTCAAATGCTCTCCTAAAGTTGACATGATATGAAACTAACAAAGAATTGTACCACAAATAAGACCTTGTAATGCAAGTTTAGTGAGCTGATGTTTGTTTATCATAGCTAGTAGATTCCAATTAGAAGTATACTCAAGTTGGCGTTGAAACTCTATTCTTTTTAGTAAGTTAATATATTGGTAGTGGTGCAGACAATTAGAATTATTGCATAAGATATTTGCTTTTATAGCTTGCATTGCTATTCGTATTGTATGATGGTTCTCTTTGTTACTAAGACCAAATACTAGTAGTGATCTATAGCTAGCCTGATCCTCGATAACTATAGCAAGAACTAGTGCTTTTTCATTGTTCAAATTATACTTTCTGTCTATTCCAAAACAAAATTGACCACAATCACATCCTTGTTTAAGCCACATTTCATCAGTTATAGTTAACTGATAATAATGTTCAAAGCTATTTTCTGTAGCAGAAGTATCACTACGCTAATAATAGAGCATCTTTCCCTGCTCTTTCAAATCTGTAGTAACCAATTAATCTAGGATGGTTTATGGACTACTTTTATTATGTAATTGAACATCATCTCACTCAATCAATTTATTTAACTGTTGCTCTGTGTATAAGTCTTTACTTGTTTTGTGCAAATATATAAGATGAGCATTGTTTGAGTTATTATGTGGTTCTAACATTTTAATAGCAATTTCCACTCCTGTATTTCAGTGTGCATGACATGCAGCAATCACTTTATCATGTGTTTGAAGACTTAGATTAATTCTTGTGAATTTAGAATCTGGTATTGGAAAAATAGATATTTTATGTACACTATTGATAATTAGTTGTATTGGTAAAGGATCCTCAACATTGGAAAGCATGACTTTTATGATAACCTATACTGCACATTTGTGCATATCAAAATTATTTTTAAGATTATTTTTCAAAAAAAAGGTTTGGGCATTCTTGTCTACATTCTCCAAGCCTGCCACAAGCCCTTTCACAACCAATACTACTATCACAAAAAAGAATCCATCTCCATATAGTTAGGTCTTGAGCTATACTTTGTTTGAATTTGGCTACATGTTCATGTCCTTTATCAGTAATTTCAATTATATTATCAATTCTGTTTGTTGATTTTTTTTGTCCTTGAACTGTTTTCCAGGTAAGATAGTTTATAGTACCTTCAACACGTTTTAAAGTAATAAGTCTAGCTTTAATACTTTTATTTATATAAAGCTGATTTTGTTTTTTGAGTTTACAGATTACTAATAAAGGTAATGAGTTGATATAGGTTTCAAGTGCACAGCCAAAGGGTAAATTAATACTTCTATTTGCATTAATATGAAATTGAGAAAGTTGGTTCATTTAAAATATTTTATAAGAAGTATAGCAATTTTAAGAACGAAGTGTATTCAATTTTTTTTATTTATGAATATGCATATTTTTGTCAAAAAATAGTTTAGGTTAGAAGAGAAAAAGGTCTAACGTGAAGAAAAATTATTTACTCCTCTTTTTTATAGGTGTATGATGCAATATTTACTAACTTTGTCTTTGTTTTGCTAATCAGAGTATCTGTAAGTTTATTGATAATATATATAGTCTTATTAACAACTTTGATATTCTGATTAGTAAATTGAATAAAAAAAATTCTAGTATTAGTCAAAAAAGGTATGTCATTATTACTTAATTTAATATTTAACATTGATATTGTCTATTACTAATTTACTAATATATTAGTTGATATTTTATTTAAATCTTTACAGATTCGTTAAAGATTTGTCTTCAAATTTAAGGCAAAGTGCAAAAAAATGTAGATATACTACGTAAATCTGTATTTCATATTGTTAGTCTTTATAGAGGTACAAATGCATTCGTAATTTTTAAATTTTGAATTTTGTCTATATTTTTTCTAACATCTTGAGCCGATTTTATAAAAGGCTAGAAATTATAATTAGTAAATATAGCTGTGATTCGTATAATGAATTATTATCTAAGTGCTACTATTAATAGAAAGAGGAAAGACACTGCATGTTTAATTTTATAGAGAAAAGGAATTAGAGTAATTTTAAATACTTTATTAATATTATAAAAATAAATTACATATAATATTAAAGGTTTAACTACAAACAAGATATGTATTGGTCTGATTAATAATTTTGGTGTTGATTATTAAAGATTGCTTACTGGTTACAGCAGTTATCATAACTATACTGATAGAAATATAGATGTTCTGAAATTAGTCACTGTAATATAATAAATATAATAATTCGAATATGTGTATATGATATGCAGATATTTTACAATAAAGTTATAAATTCATATAAATTCATATAATAATAGCAAGAACATACTGAAGCATATGTGTTGCTATTATCTTGCCAATACCCATAAACCACTACATTCAATATTGGATACAAAAATATTAATGCAAACAGTATCAGTATAATAAGGAATGGTAAGATTCTATCAAGAATAGTACGTAGATCTGTTTTTTTTTTTATCCCATCAGAATAGGTACTAACAATCTATCAGGAATAGTAGTTTTGCATATTTGATATATAATATTATATCTAATCTTACTTGCTCTATTAGAATTACAGATACAATTATTTGATATTAGACTAATAGTTCTTTTAGTTCTTTTAGTTTTAAAAAGCCTTAACTAGCCTAGTCTTTAGATATACTGATATCTGTAGTTCATCAGTTTGAGTTAGACCAATTTACAGCTTTAATTAGAAATTAAATTAGATTATATAATTGAATAATAGTTTAAATTAGATCAATATTTTTTATATTAGTATCAAATGTAATAATTAAAAATATAAAAAAATATAATTAGTAATTAGATTTTAATTATTATATATATATTCTATTAATATATTCTATTTAATAAATTAAATCTCTTTATATTATTTATCATATTACTAAATTTTTATTATATAATAATAGAAAACTTAATAATTATTTCTGATAGTTCAAATTTGAATACCTCAATACAAATAGTAGCAATAGAATATATCATACTTGAGATTATTGAATTCTAGTATTGTATAATAATAATAAAACTTAGTGATATTAATATTGTCAAGAGAAATTATATGCATTTAATACAAGTAGAATATAGAATTAGAAGGTCTTGGTCCTGTAGAGAGTTAGCTACTATCTAGGGCATGCGTAATAACCCGAATTAGCAGGAAGCACTAGGCTAGTAGTGCAATCGCATATCTGAGTACAAGGGCATACTAACATTAAACACCAGCTAATGCAGAAGCAAGTTGAAAATAGTACTATATATTACAAACCTAGTTAGAAGCAACTTTGTTGCGAAACATAGCCTATACTCTACCAGCATACAGAAGTGTCCAGTATTAATAGTAGTATTGTATATAAATATAGTTATATGTTATAAATACTGCATACTTAGTCCTGCAGTAGTTGTATTAGTTGTGAGCCTAGATTGAGCGTTGTAAGCTAATTAGGAGGTACACAGGTCTAGATAGCTAAACACCAAACAGAAAGTTTTCTGTGAGGATTACGATGCCCCATAAGATCCATAGTATCTATTTGGTAGTATCTCTGTAGGAATATGAGTGATGTAGTGAATACAGAAAAGGTGATCTAATAAGGATAGCTGTAGCATAAACTCTGATTAAGACTATAGTGGGTTAGTAACGATTTAGGTCAAATATATCTCGAGGATAAATTAGTCCTAAGGTTGTACATAGATATTAAAACTAGATGTAATCATTACTTGTAATAAGTTATAACAAAAATTTAATAAACTGTTCGGCCAAAGAGGTCACTTGTAAAAAAAAAAAGTGTTTAAGAGTATTAAAATAAAATTACTATTGCTTTAATAAATAGTAATATTAAATAAAATAATTATAAAAAGATAGCAGATATTGTAACTTAAGAGCTATCCTTTGTACTTATCAGCTGGACTTTGCTCATCCTAAGCTAGTATTGAACTCTCGATCTAGAGATCGATTAGGTATACACATCCAAACTATTATCTCACAATTGCTTAATATCTAAAATTTTTCACAGACTCTTTTTAGATAGCAAAGATTTGCTAACAATTGTCCAATAAGAATATTTAAATCTGATCATATGAAATATAAAATTTAAAATATATAAAGTTTTTAGATAAGATCAATAAAATCAAACTTTAAAAATTTAAAAATTTTAAATAACAATAATAATAATAATAATAAAAATGACTCGTCATTTTAATAACTAACAACAAAGGTTCTCTACTTATTGCCTAAAAGGAAGCTCTAGTAATCCTTTTTTTGAAGCTTTAGATGTAGTCCAAACGGAGAACAAAAGGTATTTATTAATAACATATTATTTTTTTTAGTAATAATAATATATATTAAACTCTGGTCCAAAATTATTTAGGTTAATGCAAAAGATAAGAAGTTTATGTTGTAAAGTTCATGAGTTAGAAAAGAAAGTAGAAGTGCAACAAGAAACTATTGTGGAAAATGTATCAAGGAGTTGAATTAGAGATTTGGAGTATAAGAGGTTGTTGTGAGAGAGAACTAGGTTGCAAACTCAGGTGTTGAATTTAGAAGATGAAGTTAGAAGAAGAAGTGATAATAATAATAATGATAATAATAATAGTGAAGGTAGTAGTAGTAGAAAAAGGATAGTTGGATTTGAGTTTTTCAGAAGTAGTTAAATTTTTATAAAATAAAAAAAATAAATAATAAAATTTTGATATTGAATAAATCTCTATGCTACTGTTTTTAAATAATAATATTAAATAATTAATAAAGTAATAAAATAAAATAAAATAAAATAAAAATAAAGAATTAATAAATTTGGATCCTATGATTTTATAGTAGGCCAAAAGATAAAGACCTTTTACAAATTACAATATGTAGTAAAAACTTAGAATCCTAAGACTTTTCTGTTTTATGTATAAGCAAGATGAACAGAAAACAAGATAGCATCTATTACATTCAAATAGGCTAGAGCTTGCAAGAGGCCTTTACTACTCATAATTTTACATCGTCAACAATCATATATGGTTTTCAAAATTTAGATTAACAAATATGCTAACAAGTCACAACACTTGTTATTCACAGTTACAGCTACTACATATTTTGTTAA